TGGTGACGTGCTAGTGTGAAAAACACAGCACAGTTATTATATGTGGCTGAATCGGCTAAGTTGTTGGTTTTGAGATAGCTAATAATGTCTCATGAAGAGCGGCGAAAATAAGCACTTGTATATATTTGTGCGGGACGATTATTATGTGTAGTGAAAAAAGATACATTTCCAGAAACTTGTCCTCGTGTTGTACTAGTGTGAAATACACAACACTGTTATTGGATTGATTGACTGACTGACTGACTGATGTTGTTCTTGTCAAAATAAAATTAATGAGAAGTTGTACCTCATCTCTGATTCTTGCTCCAGACTTTAGTATCTGTTTTTGTCTATACATACATGACTCCCGGTCAAGGAATAATAATTCCCAAAGGTTAGAGTTGTGGTTATGTACTCTAATACTAGTGTGAATAAACTGAATAACAACCCAGTCATCATATGTGACTGATTAGCTAAGTCATCATCATATTATAGAATGAGCAGTTGTAGCTCACCATGGTGAAGATTCCTGCTTCAGACTTTCGTATCCGTCTTTGTTGCTACATGAATTCTATCACGACTTTGACGTTCAATAAATATATGGTACTTCCGAGAATAGAAATTGGCATATTAATATGAGAGGTATGATCTAGTTGCCTATTAGAGTATATTCTAGTGCTATTAACAAACAAAATTGAAACTGTCAAGTGGATGTATTGTGGATGTATGGTTCAGTTGAGATTGTCAACTAATTGTGAAGTGCCTTTTTACGGTGCCAAATGTCTTTTTTCTAAATAAGCTAGACAATAGCAATACATTTATCAAATAAACATATAACATATGAGAATAAATAGTACACTCCACATTCTTGTTATGAGAATAAATAGTACTATTCTTGCCTTGGTAATATCTTTTATTGCCGAAAAATAAAAACACCAAATCTAAGGAGGACTTGCATGTACTTGATGATGTGGAGGTAGTAATAAATTTAACAAAACTAATATTATAATATATGAGAATAATGAGCTCCAAATGCTCGCTGTATATATAGAGGGTGGCTGTACATTATAGTAGCTTGTGGCCCTTTAGGTTTAGAGAAATGAATCGTTGCTGAAAACATTAATAGTAAAAATTGATGATGTGCAAGGCTTGCATGTTCTTGATGATGTCGAGGATTTGGAAGTGTCAAAATGGAATGTGGAAGCATCTTGTAGAGGGTTATAGCTATGGTGATGTACTATAGTACTAGTGTGAATAAACTTAATAACAACACAATCATCATATGTGCCTGACTAGGTAAGGCATGCTTGCATGTGCTAGAAGGTTATAGGTGTGGTGTTGTACTACTATACTAGTGTGAGCAAGGTCATCATATGTGACTGACTGGCTAAGTCATCCTAATTAAGTGAGTAGTTGTACCTCACCTTGGTGAAGATTCTTGCTTCTGACTTTCGTATCCTTTTTGTCTCTACATGAATACCAGCAAGACTTTGTCAGTCAATGAATCTGTAGTCCATGCCAAATTAGAAAACTTTCAAAATAATGAAGGGTTACCCAACTGCATAGTTTACTCTTGCTAATATGAACAAAGAAATTTGAAACTGACAAGTGGAAGTATTGTGGACGTATGGTTCCGTTGAGACTGCTAACTTGTCAAGCGCATTCTTACAATGCTGAAAGGTATTTTCACTAAAAAAATATCCTCTTTCAGTGGAAACAAATTTTGAGATTGTAACGCTAATGTTGACGAATTCAAAACCGACTTTCTACCGCAAAGGATTTGCCAAAACCGTATAGAATAGACCACATCCTAAATAGTTATACCAAGGCAATAGTTTTTATGTGTTAATTGAATTTTAGTTATTCGGGATGATGTCATATTTTTGTTCATGTGTTTTAAAAAAGAGAGAAGCATGAAATGGCTCTATAAACATCATCCTAATTGTGATATATCCTCATATATAGTATGCCTGACATAGAATAATTTTGTGTCGGTACCATCATTACTATGTATTGAACATGAGTAGGTGGCAGTGATGGTGTCCACACGCTTACATTTATTTCGCACCCTAAAAATTCTCAAGCACAAAATAATAAAATATTTAACTCAAACAAAACAAAGTTCATCCACTATTCCACAACAACCTAATTTAGCCACTTACCTATAAAATCTCTTACGAAAATAAATCATACTAATAATTTGTATGGCTATTGAGCTCCGAGTCAGTGATGAACTGGCGATGACATACTATGATCGGCGTATGTTCTTTATCGACGAAACGTGGATATTTTCCTATTTAATTTTTACATATCACTTTTAGTTTTATGGTCATCGGGAAAGGGTTATGATCCTCCAATACTCCTCCAGATTATAGTTTATCTTCTTCATTTTTATTGTCAAGTGAGTGTGAACTTATCTTGGAGATTTTTTAAACGTTGGCAACGTAATTTGGATGCCCACTAGGTAATTCTCTACAGAAGGACGCTTTCATAACCATGATGTAATAGTGTGAATAACACCTCTGGCCTGGTCATCATATTAGACTAGCTGACTATAGGTTGTTGTGAAAGTATAATGACAAGTTGTACCCGACCTCTGGTAAAGATTCTTTGTGTAGACTTTTGTATCCCTTTTTGTCTC